GGAAACAGTGAACTACTATAATAGATTGAAAATAATTATTAAACTATGATCTCAACCATGATTGAAATTATTGAAGTAGAATGCTATTTCGTTGTATTAAATTTCAATAGACAATAGTATAATGAGAATTTTGTTTGACTTTTAAATATATTTCATGTTATTTACAGAATGTGATGTAGTTTTGACGTTTTGCACACAATTTAATCAGTGCTAGCACAATGGCTTCGTTTCAATTTGAGCATATTTTGATAGCGTAGCGGTTTATATATCGTGTGAAAGGTTACGGTGTAGCCTTTCATACGATATATAATATTAAAACGCCTGATAATTGATAAATATCAGTGCGATCACAATGGCACCAAAATAACAAAATAACAGAATATAAGGTAAATTAAAAACAGCAAAGCTTTACCTACCTCGATCTATTTTTCTAAGGCGCTAAATTACGTAAATTTTCGACGAAAAATCAATATTTTCTTTGTATTTTACGCATCTGTCACGTGATTTACCACCGCCACTACAACGCCGGTACAACGCAACACAAATTTAGAGCAATATGAAAGTTGCATGCCCATATATGGGCATGCAACAAAATGTTATTATAAGTAATACGATGTTTTTTAAGAATATAGTGATTAAATCTCCCTCAAACCGAGGGAGGTTTGTGAAAGTCCCGAGGGAAAGCCTGAGGGCGAAGCCCGAAGGCGTCCCGAGGGACTTCCACAAACCTCCTCGGTTCGCGGGAGATTTAATCACTATATTCTTAAAAACCATGGTATTAGTTTGTAATACCATGATGACCGAGGTGAGGCTAGTGTTTTCATTGTACAAAATTAATTGATAGTACGAGTATTGTGTATTAAAAAATCATTAATGATTCATGAAGAAAACACAAAGAAAAATCATAAGCGTGTCGTATCTGTATATGTGATACAGATTCAAGTTGATTTACCTAAACTTTAATTTAACTTTGATTTTCTCGGCTTAGACAACGTTTATTTTTAAAATTACTTCGCCAACGAATTCATAAGATGAGCCGTTTTTTAATCTGATACAACATAGATTTTATATCTGATACAACACGGCCGCTCATCTTGTAAACAATACATACAATGCATGATCAGTAATGTATACAACAATTTTCCATTGTCGGAAATTCGCTTGCGAATAAACAATTCATAATATACGTGTGTCAGTGGCGGGTGCATGTATGCATATAAAATGAGTTACTTTTTAACTCAACTCTTGTTTTTGGACGCTCATTAAGAATGATATGGGGGGGATAAACGTTTCTGGTTTGTTATGGAAGCCGATGTTCAGAAAGTTAGAGATAACAGAACGCCTGAGAATACTATCAAACACACTATGTGGAGCACGAATGTTTATAAAGCAGGGGCAAAGGCAAGAAATACCGAGTTTCGTGATTTTGAAGCCGAGAGTGAAGTATATTCAAGCGTGTGCCAGATTTGCAGGAGATGAGAGTTGACGAAATTAATCACTGCATGGTTTAGCCGATTAACGCTAGAAGTACGGAAGAAAAACGGTAAAGAATACCGCCATGAAGTTGTGTATAGTCTGTTTTGTGGTTTAAACTGAACAGTTCAGTTGCAATATCCAAAGTTAAACCTGTTTAATTCTGCTGAGTTTAAGCCGCTTCAGCAAACGCTCGATGGGAAGCTGAAAGAACTACAGAGCAGCCAAAGCCCAATGAAGAAGAGAGCAGATGCAGTGACGGTTAGCGATGAAAGGGTATATATTTGAGCGCACTACTACAAGGAGCTAATTGTGGAACTGTGAACATCAACATTAATATGAGTAAATAAATTACTGTCTTTATAATATATAGTTGTGTGAAATGTTTAGTGAAAAGTGAATATTAATAAGTCGAGTAATTAACACTTTATCTTACTGTAATTAACATTGTAGTGTAATTATTTTGTTTGTGGTGTAAAAGCTATTAAGAAAACTCTATGTCGTGTCTTTGAATTTTGGCTCATGACTTTTAATCAGGGAGAAATTAGAAATCTTCCCGGCTTTGCCGGGAGAATTAGATATCTCCCCGCTAAGCCGGGAATATCGAGATTAAACCACCCGGCGAGAACAAAAGAACCCATGCAAGGTCATCATGGTATTATATAGTCAAAATACCATCGTAAAACTCATTAGTAATTCAAGAAGAATATTTAAAATAAATTAATGTTTAATGAAGTAGTGTATTACTAGTATATCCACTGAAAATTATCTTCATTTGAATTAAGGTTTTCCTGGATTTTCTCATCGAGTTAAAATCACTCCTTATTCAATAATTTGTTAAAATACAACTGCTGAGACCCTTGCGTTTCGAAAGCTATATAGTTATTATACTGTAGTATAGGTAACAGGATGGTCTAAGATTATGCGCAAGTATATAATAAATACATTTCAAATATAAAGTATACCTGGTTGATCTTGACGTCTTTCAAGAATGTTGTCGAGTACCTTCATGGCACCATGAAGATCACCCTCATCTTTTAATACACGTGCTTTTCTTACTTGGATTTGTGGTGCAATCGCCACAAGAGGATCAGTCTGTTTAATTAGGTCAACAACCTGCAGCAAAGCCTTAGACGCCCCCGACCAATACGTAGCTCTATCCACGACGTATGCCAAACATGCTGCCATATTAAAATCTCTTGCTTCGAAAGCAAAATTTACACATCTCTGAAAACAAAAAGGAAACATATCAAACAGGGTCTCATTTTCCTAGCTCTCTCTTTTGAACCGACCAAAAGCGATTACAAATGGGCCACCAGTTTTGAAAATTATAAAACCTTTTCTAACAACAATCACTTTGGAGATATGTAATATTTTGGTTTCATTGACATGCTAATAAGAATGTGTTGTTTCGTACCTGATAATCATTTAACAGAGAAGAAGACACCATCTCTCAAAAGAGTAACTTGCATACCAAGTTAAGATGGTCTAGTGAATAGACGTTGTGATAAAATATCCGTCAAGTTTTTTTAACTTTTCTAGCCGGGGTTTAATGCTTTAATGAGATTAATATATGGCGCAACTACCAAATATATCGGTTATTGGTAAATATCTCGTATGTGCATGCGTGTATTCCAATTGCACCTCCAGAACTAAACTATTTGAAGAAGAATTAGTTTCTTACCGAAATTGTTAGATTTTGATCATTGTGAATCTCTGCTATATCGTTATTTCTTTTCTTCAACGAATAGCGTATTTGTGCCTAGATTGGTAAATGCCAATTGCCAAGTTCAATATTTTTTTACCAAGTTGAGAAATGGTAAATTCTTTTCTGTGAAATGGTATATTCAAGAACGGAAACACTAAAAAAATGCATTCTGATTAGAATGACATTGTAACAAAATAACACGTCTTCTGAAAGTGTAACTATAAAACATTAATATTGGCGATTTGTATACGAAGAAGGAGAGATCGATTGAAGACATTGATGGTTATATATCCTCATGGTTCGTGTACTGTACGGTTAAGCTTAAGGAAAGAATTGAGATCAGAGTCAAGGTCAAAGAGAAATATATTCCTGCCCGAAACATAAGGATATTACCAGAATTATCTCGTCCGATAAACAACTAACGGCCCGATAAACAAGCAAAAACTCTCTCATGCCTTTTGATTCGAAATTCGTACAGCCACGTTCAAACTAGGATGAGAGTCCATGGGAACTGGCTTTCAAGGGACATAAGTTAGGTGTTCTTAATGCTTTCCAAAAACTATCGTGTATTCTGTGAAAGTTAAAAATAGTTGAAAGACTCTTTTAACCTTTATTTTGTTAACCTGGGGCTTGAAATGTTCCCTCATTTTCGTTGGGCTGGGCGTAAATAACTGAACAGAATAGTTTTAAAAATCACGGACAACATTATTCTATTCTTGGGTTTCAATCACGTGATATTTTACCAAACTGAGGCCAACTGAAAGAACAATGACACAAAATGGCTGTCAACGCATGTTGTGTAAATGAGTTCTACGACTATAACAAAATATATAAAACAATATAGAAGCCGTTCTTTACTCTCGACGCAGACCTTTAATTAACCCCCACGTAACGTCATATGAAACCCGAGAGTACCAACGCAAAATCATGCTTCGTGGTGACTCCAGTAAACAGTAAAATATCGCGGCGTGGATATATTATTAACCATAGAAAAAATGTATAAAACGCAGTTATTCAGGAAGAAAAAATTGTGTTAACTAAACATTTTTGCCGGACATTAGTAGCAACGAGATACGGATGCAAAATAATCAGAGCCCGGTATACGAAAGCGTGAATATAGCGCTATCCATCCGGATAGTGATTTCCCCAACTTCACTAAAAATGCCTGAAAAGCTGTGAAACTATAACTCGCAATAAACAGAAAGAAACTTAAATAATGTACTCATACTAACGTTTAATTTGGCACGGTGGTCGGTTGCTATGCAATTTCCTCCCGCATCAACTGGTTGGTCACGTGACACGTAAACAATGGCGCAAGCAATTTATATGAGTGGCGAAGTAGCTAGGTATTATTTTGAGCTTTTCAAGCTTTTGTCGCAGTGAAATTGTTTTTTAAATATTTTAATAGAACAAACTACACTCTCGAAAGTGATATATGTTGTCAATTTTCCCAATATGTTGCGAAATAAGTTTAAAATTCCCGTCGAACTGACCCTACCTTAAGACAGATTTCGTGTTTCTATGGCGACTGCTTACGACAAAATATACAATGAAGGGTCCCCTAGGAAAGGCAAAGTGAAATAACACATTTTCACTTTTATTCTCCCCCTTAGCAGTGTATATATTCCGTGTAAATTCAACAAAACCGGAAATTTCGCCATATTTTCGTCGAATAATCGCGATAACTTTGTTAAATCTCATTCTCGGAAGAAAAACTAAAATCAAAGTTGGAAATCATCTTATTTTGTTTCATTTAAACTGGGATCAAGCTCAGGAAATAGGTAAGGAACTTCGTTCGAAATCGTGTTTCATTTGCATATTTATAGCAATATGCGTTCGCCATATTGGATTCCTTCGTTTCGAAGTATATCGTTAATTTTCATTTATTTATAATGTGTATTGATATTTACAGCCCATTATCTACATGCAGAAAAGGTAAAAGGTGTAATAAGAGTTCAAATCATAGAGGAAAATGTAATTCTGAAAAGCAGTCTCACAAATTCTGGGTGAATTCTCCTGTATACAATCTCAAGGCAAGTCGAGCAGAAGTGATCAGTCAGAGGAAGGAAATTCAATGTTGGGAAGCAAATTTAAACCAGGCCGACTATCAAATTTCGTCCAAAAGTCAGGAACTAGAAGAGCTTGCAAAATATACAGAGGAACAGGCATCTACAACCAGTTAGTGAAATTATTTTCAGTTAATATGAGGTTTAATTGTATGTATTATTATAATACTTGTATATGACTGTAATAATATTAGATAGTCTATTCAAGGTCTTGAGGTCGTGCCAGATGGTGTTTGCAGGGAACCAGACGGTTCAGGTCCTCAGACAATTATGATTGTATTATCATTGAACCTTATAATGATTGTATTATCATTGAACCAGACAGGCTGTGATATATTAAACAATACCAATGACCTAGATTGAACATGATACTGTTGTTAAAAGCTATTTTCTATTATGGATTGACTCTTGAAATAACACTTATAACACTAATATTTTGTCCATTGATCCTCGGCTTTATGTATTTACATATAATTGATATACAGCTCATTTGCAGATCAGTGAATGGTTCATTGGCATGCACTCGTGTGCATATTAATTCAAACTGATTTACAGTGCAGTGTTCCACATAAATATGGTATTGATTAATATTGATGTGGCATGAGCACAAAATTCGTGTTGACACTGAATTCAGGTATATTATTAATGTAACTGATACCTGCGAAAGATTTTGTAAGGTGTATTTATTATGAAAAATATAAAATAACTCTCAATATTTCGAGCATGCCCAGATATTGCAGAATATAGCCTACACTTTATGTCTATTGCATGTGTAAATAGTGTGTATATATACAGAATAGGTTGTATATTGTGTATATGTATACACTATAGACATGTAGGATATATTGTGCATATTCTGCAGCCTATATATATATATTCACAATAGACAATGTATTGTCAAAATTGTATGGGTGTATATATAGTGAGTGAGTGAATGTCAAAGAATATATAGTGTAGGCTATATTGTGTATTGTATATATATATATATATATATATATATATATATATATATATATATATATATATATATATATATATATATATATATATATATATATATATATATATATATATATATATATATATATATATATATATATATATATATATATATATATATAGAATTTCGCTTACCTCAAAATTCCGCAACAGTCTGTTTCATCAGTAAAGAATCATCAGGCGGTATGACAAGTTTCGAAAAATAGGGCTGCTTATATGTGTTTTGGCCGGAACGTGGGGGTGTGTGGGTGAAACAAAGCATGCATTCATCTATTGTTTGCGTTGTTTACGCGGAAATGCCTAATCGGTTGGTGGGAGTATATTGTTTGCGTTGTTTACGCGAAATTTCTTCCTATGTCTGCACGTAGATATAATTTCCATTCTTTTATTGAGTAAACGGTTTTGGTTTTCTTTCAAAATACAAAATTTTTCCTCTAAACATAAATTACATCGTTTTGATCCTCCCGTATACGAAATAGCGCGTTTCAAAATTTGCCAATTGATATTAAAATCTTTCTTGTTATCTTTCAATGTCCAAATATATTTCGAAAGTTCAGTTTTGTTTGAGTGCTCTTTATGCTCGAAAGTATAGTTATGGTTAGCCAAACGCTCTTTAAATGTAGTTGATGTCATGCCAATATAATTCATGATCGTGTTAGGGTTGCTTGTTGTGAC